CTTACGAGTTCTCAAGCGCAGTGGAGTTTCACCGTTTCATTTACTACGAGTACATTTTGCACTTATTAGATCCCTGCTTGAGTACTGCTGTCCGGTATGGCATTCATCATTGACCATTAACTTGTCAGATAAAATTGAACAGGTCCAGAAGCGCACAATGCGAATAATCTACCCAACATTAAGCTATGACGCTGCTCTGGACCAAGCTAAATGGTCGACATTACGCGCAAGACGTGATGGTTTGTGCATAAAAACTTTTGACAAAATCAGACAGCCTGATTCACGCCTTAATCATTTAATACCACCTTCTCGGGCCAATGGACACAATCGTAATTTAAGGTACGGAAATAGATTAACACTGTTTCCTTGTAAGACGGAGCGCTTTAAGAAAAGCTTTTTTCCTACTATGTGTATTCAATCACATAATTTATAAATTTTGAAAATTTTGTAAATTTAAAAGTTCTTTCGATATTAATTCATAGATCAGTAAACTATTGTTGTAATATAATGCCAGTAACACAAGGTACTTTTTAATACTTTTAACTAAAGTTTGTAAATAATTTCGCAATTCGCTTTCATCGAGCGCGACGATTTTTATAATAAACCATTAATAAAAAAAAATGAATACACACAGTCTAAATTCGTAGAATCGGCAAAGATTCTCTCAATATTCATGTCTGAAATGTTTATATATTTGAAAACAACACTGTCTCGCTCCTTCCTACGTGCTACCTCTGTATAATGAGTATACCGTGAAAATAATATCGGCACTCAATTGAATGCCTAGAATCTCAAAGATTTTTTACTCAATATTTACGTCTGAAATGTTTTAATAATATACATTTGAAAAAAAGCACTGTTCCTAGCTCCTTCCTAGCTCTGTATAATGAATATACCGTCTAAATAATATCGGCACTTAATTTAATGTCCGTAATGCATAACATCAATTTATATATTGCGTAGATTCTCAAAGATTTACTCAATATTCACGTCTGAAATGTTTATACATTTGAAAACAACACTGTCGTTCCTTCCTAGCATATCGTCACGCCATCGTGGCCTACGGCTTGATAGCGCATGCGCATTTGCGCTGCTAAAGAAAGAATCGGGTGTTCCGGGGTAAATATCCTTTACACAACATGAGAAGCGAATGTTATAAAATTTACAAAAAGTTACAATAACGAAAACGATTCCTCGAATTTTTTGTGAACCTGGCAAAAGGCCTAAAGAATATTTAAAGAAGACAACTGAAATTACCTAAAAAACTTTCAATGTACTGACTAAGTACAATAAATCACTGAGAACATAAATCGTATACACCCCCTGGAAAGTTTACTCTATGACTGGCTGACTCAATGAATGACTGATAAGTGTGAATTTTCTCCACCATCAAAATATTATATTAAAACGAGTATTTTATAATTTTCGTTTTCCCGCCGTTCGGGGCGAACCGCGTAAGCCCGGGGAGAGAGTACTAATTCCGATCGTATATTTACGTACATCTGAAATTCCGGATAATGTGATCGATCATAGCAGAGTTTATAACCAACTTTTACTTATGGATGGCAGACCTATTTTTGAAATATTGCTTGTTTCAGTATTTATTTAAAAGAAGCCAAAAAATAGAAAGAAGCCAAACGAAATTTTTAGTAGCCAAACGTTGTCAAAAGAAGCCAAAATCGAGAAATTTGGCTCTTTTAACGGAATTTCGAACTCAAATTTTGTAAACCAGTGAAAGCTTTAATCGTATTTTGAGTTAATGGGTGAAAACGTGTTGGGTGTTAATTGCTGCATGAAATTTGAGACAATTTTCTTCAGTTTCAGCCGTTTAACTATTCACGCCCTTACAAAAATTCCACATGATTTCACATGTGTGAAATTTCACATGTGAATTTGGAACATGTGATTTTTCACATGTGAAATTTCACATGTGAAATTATGTTTCACATGTTCCAAATTCACATGTGAAACTTCACATGTGAAATTTCACATGTGAAGTTTCACATGTGAAACACATAATTTCACATGTGTTCACATGTGAAAAGTCACATGTTCCAAATTCACATGTTCCAAATTCACATGTGAAATTTCACATGTGAAACTTCACATGTGAAACACATAATTTCACATGTATTCACATGTGAAAAGTCACATGTTCCGAATTCACATGTTCCAAATTCACATGTGAAATTTCACATGTGAAACTTCACATGTGAAACACATAATTTCACATGTGTTCACATGTGAAAAGTCACATGTTCCAAATTCACATGTTCCAAATTCACATGAGAAACTTCACATGTGAAACACATAATTTCACATGTGTTGACATGTGAAACTTCACATGCGAGATATCACATCTTCCAAATACACATGTGAAATATCACATGTTCCAGTTTCACATGTGAAATTATGCAAAGCTTCAATCATGCACAGTTAAACCTGTCAAACAGTGAGATACTGCAGTGATGGTATATATACTGTAGGAAGTTTAAATAATTTATTTATACAGTTAATATCTACAAATGTTTAGCTAACATACAAAATAATTTATAATAAAGGAAAAAACTTAGCAGTTCAAATGTCTTTTGCAATTTTTCTTCTTTTCGTATCAGCATTTCTTTTGTCTTTGCACTTTTGGGCCATGGCAGCTTTCACTGATGAGGCTGTTGCTCCCGCAAAACGTTTAGTCACATGAGCTACAAGAAAGGAAATACAAGACTATCATTAGCTGTACATACTGTATTTCATGTACCGGTACTGGAACTCCACAGTCAGTTAACATTACAGTATATAGCACAAGTTCACAGTTCACATGCAGCAATATGAGCAATTTCCTCCTATCCAACCTATAAACTTTGCACCTTATTACGAATGGGAAGACGGAAGACCTAAATAAATGTAGTTAGTAGCACAACCCAACCTTTGGTTGACGTTGTTTCTAGTATTATCATAATTGATAACCCTTGGTTCATATGGCTTTTACCCTGACTCGTCCCCAGTAATGTATTCTCTGGGTGGCAAATTGGAAACTGCTGCAAGGCTATCTTCTCAACAAGTAAAACTGTAAAATTTCCTGCCATTAGACAGAGTAATATAAAGTAGAGCATATTGCCAGTGAATGGGTTAACAAGAGAAATTAGGTTGGGTCATTCCAGAGAACATCGATACCTAACCTCCCCCATGAAGGAAATTGGAAGTTAACCCCCTATCCCCTTCAACATTCGAATGTCCTTATACACTTCAGAAACAATTTTTTTCCCCTCGCCTCCCCTCCGGACGGTTGAAATTTCCTCTGTGCCCAGGGGAGAGTGGATCTTTTCTGGAACGACCCATCAGACACAGTAAAAGAATAAAGTTGTGGCACAATGCAGCTTATGCCATGTCCGGCCTAGTATAATATCCAGTGAACTCCCCATCTTAATGACCTGCCAAACTTCTTGAGAAGTACAGGGTATTCCTGTTTTGTTGGGTTAATATGGCCATGTGTCTAGTGAACCCATTAAGTTGTATTGTACCCTTGTGTGTCCTACTTCCTTATTTTACTGTCTTTTAAATGCCAGATTTTTGTTGGGTTAATATGGCCATGTGTCTAGTGAACCCATTAAGTTGTATTGTACCCTTGTGTGTCCTACTTCCTTATTTTACTGTCTTTTAAATGCCAGATTATTGTACTCTGTCTAATGCCAGACTATTTTTGAGCTCGCTGAAATCCTTCATTAACAATAAATTTTATAGTTTTGGTTTAGTACGTAAGAGTGCTGTAAGCCTGTAAATATAGCCTGGCAACGTCTGTTTAAGGACCTGTAGAATGATATACTGTAGCCAGTAATGATTTTTCTGTGTTGGTGTCATGTACTCAGGAATATGATGCTTGTGATGTTACGCTGAGTATATATCCACACCGGGCAAGCGTAATTAAAAAATATGCCTGACCATGGTGGGAATCGAACCTATGACCTTTGGAATACTAGCCCAATGCTCTGCCAACTGACCTACGCGGACAGATTGATTCAAATACAGTATGTGATATTTCGGAACAGAATCTAATTCCTCCAATATCAATGTAATCTAATAATCAGTAATGATTTTTCTAGTTCCTTCGATTACATTATTTGATATCGAAGGAACTAGATTCTGTTCCGAAATATCACATATTCGAACTGATCTGACCACTTAGCTCAGTTGGCAGAGTATTGCCAGGCTAGTATTCCAAAGGTTGTAGGTTCGATTCCCACCGTGGTCAGGCATATTTTTCAAGCTTGCCCGGTGTGGATATACACTCGGAGTAACATCATAAGCATCATAATGTAGCCACTTTGTAATTATTATGATCCCACCGACATGACCCAGCTTGCAATATGAACTCTATCAACTGTTTAGTGAATTATTCTACTTCTATCTGGCCTAGACAGGATCCCACCTGCCAGGACAAGAAACTCTCATGAATATAAGCACTCTATCATCCCTGCCAGGTGGGGTGTATCGTGTCTATATTAAACACGCCATCCTGGATTATAACCTACTGTCCATTCGTGCCATTATCATATAAAAAGGCACATACATACAGGGTATACTCTAGAAGGGTTTAGCTTGGAAGATCCTTCAAGCTCAAGCTAGCAAAAGTTTATACTTTTTTACCATATTGTGGGAAACACTAACCATTTAGTCGTAATGTGCCTTGATGCATTCAATAGTCTTGTTTACACTACCAGCCTTGGCCTAGCCTTGGCCAACATTTTGACAGTGTAAACAGACTTTGGCCTAGCCTTGTCCTGACCTAGGCTAGGAAATCTGGGCTCACTACAAGTCTACAACCGACTTGGCCTAAGCCTAGGCTTGGGGAAATGGCCTAGCCTTGTCCTGACTAGGGTGATCCGGTTTCGTAAAATAACCGAAACCGAGAATCGTCCCAAAATAACCGAGATAACCAACTCTTTTAATCAATGAACTTATTTTGACAAAAATAAACAACATGTCTTGTGTGTTATCCATGTGACGTCTTCGCAGACGTCCGCCTTTCTCTTAGCTCATCAAATCGGAAGCTTTAAGCTTGTTTTGATCCGCCATTTGAGTCGTAGCGCTTTTCTAGGCTTCTAGCATCGATTTAAATTGCGTAATCACCAAAGAGTATAACGTAGCTTGCTTATAGTTTTATGTTGATCACATGTAGCCCGCTTGTTTGTCTTTTTATTTTGAATTTTATATTTTGAATTGGTTTTTCGGTTAGTTGGTTATCTGATATTTAGAAGACTCGTGAAACCGATCTGTAAAAATAACCGTCTCGGCTAACCGAATAACCGCATCACCCTAGTCCCGACCTAGGCCAGGAAATTTGGGCTCACTACAACAGACCTGGCCTAAGGGACCGGTCATTATTTATGGCAGGGGTGGGGGCCTTTATTAATTAAAATGCAATTTTATTGTGAAACAGTTTCACAAAATATGTGCTCACCCATGATTGCAACTATCTAAATTCTAAAATTTCCTCTGAAATTCCTTTAATATTTCCTTACTATAGACAATCACATGTATTATCACGGAATTTTAAAGGAATTCCTTAAGAATTCCCAAGGAATTCTTGAAGTTTTTGAAATCAATTTAATATTTTAATTCATAAACAATACAACGATACTAATTAAAAGTATTTGTCCCATGTGAGAATATCTGAATTTAGAAAGTTACTGTAAATTAATATGAAAAGTTGCTGTTATACAGTGTGAAGATAAAGATATTCATCCGAATTCCAAGTATGACTATATAAACAATTAAATTAATCTGTAAAACGGGTAAATAGATTTCTCTTATTTTATCCATGTATACATGATCTCTAGTAAAGAAAAACAGGTAGTTGCCAAAGACTAGAGTTGAACATATTGTGAACTAGCCATTGGAATGATTCTCCAGATTCACAAGAGGCATATGGGGCATATTTCATGATTTGCTACCTAATTGTCCACATGATTTACAAGCACATACTGGATATAAATATTACTTATGCAGTATCAAGTGTAGATGCCCAAAAATTAAATCCTGAAAAGTTAATAGACTGTACATATACATTTTGAGATATGTAATAAGAGGATGTTTATATGGGGGCGAGGCTGGATTCCCGAGGTTAGGGGCTACAGACTTAAGGTCACTTTTCCTGAAGCAAGATCTCGGGCTAAAGGGGCGGGATCTCGCTTAGCTATAGCTGGGCCCGCTCTTTACCCATATATACACAAAGTGAACTTTAGTAAGAAATAACAACAAAGGCAGGATCTCACCAAAACTGGGCCACCTTGGGTACCCTGGGGTTGGCTTGCAGTTGCACCATATAAACAGCCCCTATATATCGGCAGTATATATTTTGTCTGGTAATTGGAGTCATTTGGAGATTTTGTGTGTAAATGAATTTGGGTGGGTTGAGGGGGGTGTTTCTGTCAACGTTTTGGAAAGCAATAATATTTTATTAAAAAATTAGAATAATCACATATTAAACTCTGATTGTAGTATATATTGTACTGTGTGTGATTAAAGTAAGGCAATTTTTTTTACCCCACCTCTGCATGCAAGGATTTTTTGGCCACCCCACCTAAAGCAACTATTATTTTTCAGTTACCCCACCATTTTCTCTTCGGCCCCCACCCCTGCCATATACAATGACCGGTCCCTAAGCTTGTGTAAATGTAAACACTTTCGGCCCTGGCCGGGGGCCTTATTTTTATGGCAATGTGTGTCCACAGTGAGAGATTAGCAGACAACCAGCGGACAACATCACAACACATAAAAATACACAAAATTAATAACAAAATTCTTGGCCAAAGCGGGCCTGTCTCAAAAAAAATAGTGTAATGGTGTAAACATGCCACACTTACCTTGGCCTGTCCAAGGCTAGGTCAAGGTTTAATTGTAGTGAAAACACCATTAATTTTACTCTGTCTAACCCGGCCAGTAACCCTAGGCAGAATTAATGCCTAGGTGATTTTACCTTGGAAATCCAGGCATTCCAGGGGAGATGTGATTAAAAGAACATAATTTAATTAATACTCTCAAATAATTCTCATGTTTTGGTATGAATAGGCTTGCAAGCCATTTTGAAGCAAACCCATATTTACATTCATGATCACATTTCACATATTGTTTCAAATAATACACTATATATAAATGTGCATATTCAAAATTTGAATTGTTGGTTTTAACTAATATTTGGAGGCATTGAAATGAAATAATTTCAATATATAAAATCTCGCGCGCGCAAATTCAAATTTTAGCAGCCACATGTTCAGGCTAGTACAGCAAAAAGATAAAATGAAATAATAGGGTCGATGGACGTTATAATTATATGATATAAAGAGTAATAATACATACCTGAGATCAATAAGCCTTTAGCAAGACTTAGAGTCACTTATCCAATACTATTTATACCTTTTCTTGAGCGGAATATAGCTTTTCTTGAGCGAAATCAGTATCCAAACGAAAAAATCAAAAATTTGCAAATCACACCACAGGAGGCCCAGGCTTGATTTGCCCGCGCCCGCCTGTGCCTTCCTTATAACAAGGGAAGGAAGGAAACATTGAGACCAAAATAGCCCAGACTGGCATATGTCACACGGAACTATCCTCGATTTTTCGCCTTTAATGCATTTCTTTCACGATTAATCGATATCCCCTGCAAGAATGATACCGTATAACTCTCAAAACAACGATGCTTTAATCAAAGGGCTTAAATTCGCTCTGAAATCCGTGAGGGAATAACAAAATTCGCCCAAAATATATCCGCGTGCCGGGTTTGCTGGACAAAAAGCGGAAGTCGTTGAACAACTCAAAATACACTCAACCCTGATTGGACAACGGAAATCAACAAACATTTCAAATTTTCAGTAGTCAGTAATTAATATAAATTTGAATCAAAACAATTAACAAATGTTGTCGGGGGGAAACCAGTACAAATCTAAATATTTAAATTTAAGAAGTTTAGTCAGTATAATAACGTTTGTGAATTGTTTTGTGAATTCAAATAATCAAATTATTACAATACTGTTCCAAGTACTGTCCCCATTCCCAGTGCCAGTGGAGAAAAATTTGAAATGTTTGTTGATTTC